GACTTTAGTGAATATACAACAAATAGAAAGAGCAAGAGAGATCTGTATGTTTCCACTGGATCATGTTGAGCCTGGTCAGTACTTAGATGAGTGGTTCCCAAACGGTGCTGTTGGCTGCGCCTCACGTGCATGGTGGAAGAGAATAGCAGGTGAGGTGGAATGATTGAAAGACAATCAGAGATTTAGAAACAGTTTCAAATAATTCATATGCCAAAAATATATATGATTTCAAAATTTAAATTATTATTATGGATTACTTGTAATTGCATACATGAATCCCAGTACAAATAGTTATAAATTTATCATTGTGATATATTTGCATTATATCAAGTATTAAGAATATAGTAACTAGGGTCAGCAAATTGGAGGAGAGAGTTATCAATGATAATGTTATGATTCCAAATCCACAGTTATCTTCCTTTAATCCTCTGTTTGGTTTTTTTTTATTTTTAAATGTATTTTTTATCACCTAAAATTTACTGAGGCATGAGTAAATTTTAATCCTGAAAATGCGACCTGGAGAAAAAAAAAAGTTTAGGAACCACTGACTTAAATGGTGGAGGGGGACCACTTGAGAACACTGGGTGCTCTAAGCAACCTCTTATAACACAGAATATGTTTTCACTTTAAATACATACCTGTATATAAAATCAATTTTCAAAAAAGATATAAATCTTTGTGACACAATATAACACTCTGTTTTTGAAGTGTTGTTAAATACCAACAAAAACAAAATTAACTGAAAAGGAAAACTAAAAGAACTGTTACATAAGGTAGCAAAGGAAAGCAAGAAGAAAGGACTATGGTTGTCAATAAAATAAACAGTTCAAGGTGTGAGCTGTCAAAATCAAATAGGTATGGAAATTTAAATATTTGAGTTGTGTAGTAACAGATGATACAAAATGTGACATAAAAGATGCATAAGAATAGTGAAAGTGGCCATCCGGAAACTAAGCAAAGTATTAAGAGATAAGAAAATATCACCAAAAACAAAGAAAAGAGTGCCAAACTGCTATGTCATATCTAATCTCCAATGTGACAATGAATACTGGACAATCTCTTCACAGATGGAGAATAAACTTAAAGCAATAGAGATGTGGCTCTACCAATAGATGCTGTAAATACCATGGATTGAAAATGTAAGGAACAAGGAAGTTTTAAGGAAAATAAGAGCTAAAAGGACACTTACAATCAGAAAGAATTGAAATTTCTGGGATGTATAATGAGTAAAGAATTTAACACTTACAAGTCATTGAAAGCAAAGAGTAGAAGGGAGAAACAGCAAATTATTTACTTAATGGGTTTGTGTGAATAAATGGTGGAACAAGGTAAAGAGTGATGGTAAAGAGCTGAATGTCTTTTAGAGCAATAAAAGTGAGGAAATTGGAGAGTTATGATTGCCAATTTTCTGAAGGGAAACAGCACTAAAGAAGAAAAGCTGAATATGGTGAGCTAATAGTGAGGTAGTCTCATTGGTAAATTAATACAAGCTACTTGTGGCAGTTAGAGTGTTATCAACATGTGTTAAATGCTTATATTATATAACCTTTCAAGGTACTGCTTCTTAACTCCTCATATTGAAGAGATAACGTCTAACAATATATTACATAGCTTGTTAGGCAAGATAGTTTTACATTTTCTACTGGTGTCATTATCTGATATTTAAGGTTTTTGAATGTTGATTTTCAAGGCAGGTAGACTGGCCTTCCTTTCTTGAAAGATTGATAGACACAATCTTTCTATTTCTTTGTATTTTGGGTTGTGTGCAAGCTTATGAGGAAAGGCATTAATTCATTTACACCCAGAGAGGTAAATGCTTTTCTCAGACTTGCATATTCTCCCATCTGTACCATTAGTCAGAGTCCAAGCCCAGGCAAAATCGGACATTTTGAATGTTGATTGTATGCTGAAGATACTAAGATATTTGGTAAGAATGAATAGGTGTGTATTTGGGCAGCAATCCTTCTCTAATACAAGTTTCATTAAAAATAACTAACAAAAGACTTTTGCTAAGTTTTTTCTTTTATATTTTTCTTGTGTGCAAACAAGAGATTTTTTTGGACTTAGTAATCTTTTTCCAAATGATTATCTGTCCTGGGTATGATGATAAACAGCAACAGCAAGGCCTCTGATCAGGAGCTATGGGCAAATAGTTAACCCCCAAACTGGGGTCAAAACGCTATGGAAGTGTAAAAATAGGTTTTAATACCAGCCATACATTTTTGAAAAAAAATAAATAAATATTACCAGCAATAAAAATCTTGTTGGAATTAAATAACCCATTGAGTTTGGTATGCTGTAAACCAAACCAAACCAAAACACTTTTTGCCTAATCTATTTGTGATGTTCAAGGTTTTTGGTTGTGCTATTGTAAATGACATGTAAGTTACTGAAAAGTAGACATTCCTACTTACATTGTGGCTGTGTTAGTAGCTGATGTTGTTGAATTTTTTTTTTCATTATGAGGGCTTCAATTATTTTTTGACATTTTTACAATTAGCAACATATATTATGTTTGTGTTTTGTACTAAAATTGCAATATTTTCATGTTGATTTAAATGTGTCCTCATGAAGCTATGGTCCAAAAGAAGTAGGGTCAGCCTTCTTGATAAGCAAGTGGTGGTATGTATGACCCAATTATTCAGAATTATGCTTTTGTTAGGAGCACAGTAACTCTGTGACATTTGAATTTTATAAATAATGTAGGTCCTGTATAATTTGAGAAATCAGTTATGTGCCATGTGTGATACATGCTTAGGCGATCATGTATCGAAAGATACATGACTGATGAAGCAGATTTTTTTTTGCAGTAGGTTGCCATTTCTTTCTGTGGTAGACCAGTTACTATCCAAGATTATAGAACCAGGTCTGTCCTGATATTTAACCATAGCTGGTGGGAGAAGAAGAAGAGGATTAAGGGTATTAAATGTAATGGATTTGACTGGAATTTGAACTTGGCTCTTGGATTCCTCAATCCGAGCTGCTATCCATTACTCCACCGTAAGAACTCTTATCTCAACCACGTGTTTTGTCACTCCCCCCCCTTTTTTGACAATGAGACTGCCATTACAGCTTCCATATTTTATATTTTAATATGTCTTCTATAAGCATGTTCACTGTTTTCGCGGGAAAACAGCATATAGTGTAATGAAAATGCCACAAACTTAACTAAAATAAAGTTTTATTGTCAAAATGCTTATGTTATTATTAAGATGAAAGACCAAAGTATTTTTTTAATTATTTTTGAAATTTTTAATCCTTTTCTAACACGTTCGAAATTTTTGGTTAAATTCTTCTTTTGTTTACGTCATTACAGAAAATAACATTTTTTTTTTGTGATTTTTTTTTCCGTTTAAAACATTGATTTGGAAATTCTTCTAAAAATCAAGTAATTGTCCGAATTTAATGAAATTTTCAGGACTTATTCACAAATCAATGAAATTATTTTTGAAATATTTTTTTTAGAAAATTTTGGTAAAAATATATTTTTTTTAAAATATGTTACCCCACATTTACTTAATTTAATGAAATTTCGCCCAAAACCTTTTTGGTTCCTGAATTTTTTTTTTTTTAAAAGTAGGAGTCTTTGAAGATGGTAAATAAGCTACTTTTTTTTTTTCAAATTTGAGCTATTTAACTGAAAATCTGCTCTGAATTGAAAAATAATGAATCAATAAAACTATGTTATTACTTAATTAGAAAAGCTTTTAATTGCTTTTGTAAATAAGTAATATTAAGAACATTATTGTCTGAAGAAATTTTTTTTCTGATGAATAATTAATTTTACAAAATTTTTTTTCGTTTTTTAAGAAATTTTAATTATAATAATTTATAATAGTTTAACATCGTGTAAAGCTCTGTATTAGGAGGGCTCCTCAATATTATGTATTAACTAAGTAGAAAAAAAATTTCGAGTCCAAAATTGCTAAGTTTAATAAATTTAGTTAAGCTTACTTTTTTAAAAATAATTTTTTATGTTGTATTTTTTTACTTAATACATTCCTTATTTCCATGTATGATATACAGAAATTGCCATTATTATAACAAGGTCACGTGATCTAAGTGTTTTGTCCCTTTACGTGGCCTTTTCATAACATTTTGTTTCTTACAGGTTGTATTTTCCATTCAGCTTTAAAGTGTAAACTTTAAATTTTAAATTATTTTTCCTTTTTTTCATTTACTATTTCACTAAATAATTTTATTTTATGTATTGTATTTCCATTAGTGTGTGTCATACTCAAATTGAGTTTTTAAAAAATTATTCTGACTTAAAATGTCATTTATGGTCATCAGTAGTAGCTGTGATCAGTTCGTCATTCAACAATCCATCAATAGTTCAATCAGATGAACAGGACCGCTCGTTAATAATTGGTTGTATATTATTTTTTTATGCTATAAGAAAGATTTCTTTCAAATCAGATTACTTTAAATTTTTTAATTTTACTAAAATAACGTGTCAGAAATTTTCTTAAATATTTTCAAAATCGATAAATTTGTGTTTACAAATTTCTTAAAATTAAGAAAATGGCCGATTTTAAGAAAATTAAAAAATTTGAATTTAAATTTGACAATCAAATGTATATAGTTTCTATCTGAAATACACCAGAATTGTTTAATTAATGGAAATCATAAATTTAATGATTAAACTTTTTTTTAAAGCTAAAATAAAATCTTCAAGAATGTTTTTTCTTTGTAAAAAATTCATTTCAAACTTAAATATAGAAAATTTATGCCGAAATAGTGGAGATACTTTGAAACTATTGAAAAACAATGTAACTAACTAATGAAAATCTTATCTGTATACAATTTGACTTCTAGATTTCAAGCTAAAAATTTGACTTGTTTGTGATATGAATATGGCTGAAAGGCATACTGTCAGCAAAAAAAAAAAAAAAAAGGAAGCTTGAAATAACAGATTTTGTAATAAAAATGAAAAAGGAAAAAAAACATATTCCATACTTCCACATTATCTGAGTAATAAAATTTACTTCCTTATTTCTATGGCAAATTTAAGTGACTTTATTTTTATTGTTGTCCAGGCTGATGTCTTTTCCTTTGGAATCATCCTTTGTGAAATCACTGCCCGAATTGAAGCTGACCCTGACATTTTGCCCAGGACGCAAGTAAGTGTGTTTTGACAGCATTTTAATAATTGGACTGTTTTTGTACACTCAGTTTTAGGAAATTTTGTAGCTTTATTTCTTTTATAATTCTCTTTCTAGTGTTAAACATTCATCCACATCTGAAAAAAAAAAAAAAAAAAAAGCTTAAATAAAAATTGTGGGTGAATATATTGATCATATTAATGTTGCTAGAGGAAAGGTGTTATGATTAGTATATAGTTATTGTAAGCAGAAATAAGATCTAAAAGAAAATTTTAAATCTGCCAGCCCTAAGATTATTAGGCTTAAAAGGACTAAAATTTTATGGAAAATATTATGAAATAATGGGGTAATTTCCTTATTATTGAATACATGATAAAATCCTTCGGAAAGAAAGTCTCTCTGGCCTGAAGCACATTAGTCTTGGAAAAGGTATGCAACTTTTAATTTTAAGGCAATTCTTACTAAATCTAAAGGATGGTAGCAAACTTTTGACTGATAATGTATTGCTGAATATTTGATATCCAAATTGCTTCTATCATTGAAAATAAAAGAAATTGTTTAGATTTCTAGAGTAATTGGTCAGGGTTAAATGTAATTGACAGAAATACCCAGCAATCAGAATTTACAAAGTTTGCAATAAACAATGACAAAAAAAAAAAAAGGGCAAAAATAATATTAAGTAAGCAAACAATATATATGCAAGACAAAACTAAGCAAAGCAACAGTAATAAATTACAAAAATTCACAAAAAATAATGTTAACATACAAAGAGGGATACAGACAAGTGATTGGAGTGTTCTGACTTTAAGACATAACAAGGATATGGTGGATGAGACTGAGAACTAGCCAATCTTATTGGCTAGGAAGAAATCCCATCATGCATCTGTATGATTTGTCTATAAATTTGAGGAGAGGGAAGTTTTTGCAGTCATTCCAATTAGAATGGGACCAATATGATTCTTTTTATATAAGGAATCACACATTTGAAAAACACACAATTCTATATTTACAGGGATATAAATGTAAAAATGAAAAAAAAATCTGAATAAAACACAGATTTCACAAATGGGCTAATAAAAAATATATCATTGAATAAACTTTTTTTAGGAATATGAAACAATCTTACTAGGCTAAATGTTTTTTTTTCACTACTATCAAGCTTTAATCAACATAGTTATTTCCCTTGCACTAGCAGTACCAGCTGGTGTTTTTATGACAATGCGAACTTTTCCAAGAGGTTTAGAGAGCTGGGATCCCAGTGAACTTGCAAGTGGATATTTAGTATTTTTGGAACATTTTTCAAGTGATATATGGTATATCTAGTCTGGAAGCAGACAGTCACAGGATTTCTGAACTGGTTTAGCTTTGTCCTAACAACGAATATTTATCAAGTTATGATCATTTGAAGTTAATCAATACTTGCTCATGTTTAATTGTTTATTATATAAATAATATACACACTATTTACATTATTCAGACTATTGTCAGAATCTTTGTTGCCATGTTTATCACAATGTTTTGGCTGTTGTACGCTCTGGCCTTCTTGAACTGAACCTTTTATTTCACCCACTGGGGTAGACTGTTCTAGTTCCATGTGCCATGTTTAATGGATGTCAATTATCTCCCGTTAATTCCCCTTTCCAAGTTCTCCACCGCCTTAATTAGGTATTGAACTCACACTCTTTGGGTCCTGTTACTGGATCTAACTAACGCCTTTATTCACTGTGCCATGGTACAGTGGATAAAGGCCTTCGCTAGACCAAGAAAGCTCAGTGAGGCACTCTCATGGAGTTGAGCATCAACCACACTGATAGGCATCAGGGATGTTTCTCTATGGTGAACTTAGTTAGATCCAGTGACAGGACCCAAAGAGTGTGAGTTCAATACCTGGTTAAGGCAGTGTAGAACTTGGAGAGGGGAATTAACAGGAGATAACTGACATCCATTAAACCTGACATGTGGAACCAGAACAGTCTACCCCAGTGAGTGAAAGAAAGGGTTCAGTTCAACATTTCAACTACCTGAATAAGGCCGAAGCGTACAATGGCCAAAATGTTGTAATAAACATGGTGACAAAGATGAAGACAATAGTCCGAATAATGTAAATAGTGTACATAATACCTCATCTCAGAAATATATATATATATATAAGGAATGACACTTTTTTGCAAGTATGTTATCAGAAAAAACCTAGAAAGGAAGGATTCTGTGTATGAGGTCTCTCACATTAGACACACACACTTATTTTATAAAATATTTTGCACAAAAATTATTTTTGTTTAGATATTACTAGAGAACAGTTAATGTTCAACGCCCTTGTTTTGTGGTATTTCTATTAAATGTTATCAAGATTTAGTTTAAATGCTACAAAAAGGTGTTGAAAAGATATGAAATTATCAATTTTCTTTTTTCTTTAAAAAGTGTTTTCATTTCCATTAAATGTTGTGCAGTAATTAAATTAAAATAATTTGAGACTTAGATATCACTTCTAAATATTCTTGACAATTAGTCAAAACAATTTGGAATTTTCAGAAAAACTGAATTCTTGATTGCTTATACGAAATAGTGGGCAGTATGTAACCTTTGTGCCTCCCAAAAAGAAAAAAAAAGGGTGTGTTAGAAAGTCGTGTTTTTTTTATTTTTTGCTTGACACCGCTGTTACTGTACACACTTTTGGCTCACTTGGTAATATTTATTATTTTAAAATGCAATGATTATAATTTTAATAAAATCCAAACAGATGAAAGTGGATTTATATATATATTTTCTTTATTCTTGAGAACTGACTAAAAATATATTTGTCACTCTTTGTCAGACTGGGTATTTACAAGAGGGAGGCACGGTGGAGTAATGGATAGCAGCTTGGATTGAGGAATCGGAGAGCTGAGTTCAAATTCCAGTTGAATCCATTGCATTCATTTATGTGCTAATACCCTTGGGAAAGGTATGAATCCTCTTCTCCCCCCTAGCTATGGGTAAATATCAGGACAGACGGGGTTCTATAGCCTTGGATGGCAACTGGTCTACTGCAGAAAGAAATGGCAACCTACTTCAAGAAAAAAATCTGCCTTGTCTGTCGTGTATTGAAAGATACATAATTGCTTAAGTGTGTATCACGCATGGCACATAATTGATCTATCTATCATGGTCTGTTTATGTCTATTTATCTATCTCAGTCTATTCACATCTATCTATCTATAACAGCCTGCTGATATCTATCTATCACATTCACTTATGTGCTAATATCCTTATGAATAGGAATGGTATGAATCCTCTTCTCTCCCCAGCTATGGGTAAATATCAGGACAGGCGAGGTTATATAGCTATGGATGGCAAATGGTCTACTGCAGAAAGAAATGGCAACCTACTGCGGGAAAAAAATCTGCCTTGTCAAACATGTATCAAAAGATATATGATCGCCTAAGTGTGTATCACACATGGCACATAACCAGCTATTTACAAGATTAATTTTATATTTACAAGATTATAAAAATATGTAGACCAATTATAATGAAATAATTATTATTTGCCATTTTATAAAGAAATAAATATGAAAAGTCTAGGAACAAGAAAACTTAAATAAACATATAAGGATGAATAACTAATCATAAACTTCGAAAAGAATTCATTTTCCAGACATTTGTCATTTGTTCTTGCCATGCAAATTCATTACATCCTATTACATATTTTGATGATTTAGAAACTTTTTATAAATTTTTGAATATACAGTTTTCTTTTCAAATTTATTTCTTTTTATAAAATTATATATAAATCTTTATAAAAGGTAAATAAATTATGAATAAAAAACTTGTTTTATAGTTGTTTATAAAATGGTAAATAATAAATATTGCATTGTAGGTGGTTTACATATTTTGATAATTATTTTTAAAATTTTTAATAAAAAGATTTCTTTTCACATTTACTTCTTTATAAAATGCTAAATAATAAATATCACATTGTACTAGGTTAACATATTTTTATAATCTTGTAAGTAAACATTGTCGAGCAAGTCAAATGTGTATACAGGAATAATGGTGTCAACAGACTAGCTGTCCTTTTGATACAATGTTTTTTGGGGTTGGGGAGATGCAAAGAATGTAAAATAACCTGGAAAATCAAATTTTCCCAGTATATCATATATTTCATTTACTAATAATTCCCTCAGTACAAGGTCCCAAGAGCCACTCTAGCTAGATGGTTACTAAATAAGGTTGACCCTAGACTTGAAGAGGTTAAGAGGTTGCAGTGATTGGGAAAGCATTCTCTCGGGACTCTGTTCCACAAAATAGCAATTATTAATAAGTTGTCTGAATAGAATTTCCTTTTTACTAATGGAATGTGAAGAGAATATGGTGGGGGGGGGCGATGATTCATCCTAGTGTCTATGAAGGTTAGAATGTAACTTTTTTTTTTTTTTTTTAACTGGTATCACCCCAAGCAAGACAGTACAGCTACTAAAACGTAAGGGGTCACAAGGTGTGGAGTAATTAGGAACAGAAACACTAGTAATGGGTGTAAATAGAAGACAGTAGATAATTTTTTTTTTTTTTTTAAGCATTTCACCTCAAGCATAGCAGGAGTGACACTAGTATGCAAGGGGCTACAGAGAGAGTAAGTAATGGAAAACACTGGGGGTGGTGAGGAAAGGATAAAAAGAGGAACGGAGGAGGAGGAGGATAAAAAGAAAAATGGGGATCAAGGCAACAGAAGATGTCGATTGACATTACATTTAAATTTTTGATGATTATAGTTATCAGGGCAGTAAGTAAGAGGAAGGGAGTTCCACTGCCGGAAAGGGTGAGAGAAAAAGCTGCCGAAGTAGAAGCAGTTACATTTAACTGTTTTGACAGTAAAAGAGTGGGACTGAGATGCCAACCTAAAAACATGCTTAAATTCATGCAGTCAGGGCACTAGTAAAAATGGCTCATCAGATCAGATGCCATGGAAATATTTATAGAAAAGACAGAGGGAAGCCACATTATGAAAGGAACTGGAATCAAGACCCCAAGTCAGGACCA